TCCATAAGAACGAGGGCGTGCCGGTGGGATGTGCTTTGGTGTCCATAAGAACGAGGGCGTGCCGGCGCTTGGCGGGATGTGCTTTGGTGTCCATTAATGTGGTCGAGGGCTGATGCAGGCATGGCGCGTTTCGGGAGCTGACCTTAGCGTGAGATCCACGCCACTGCCCGCATGCACCTGTCGCCCCAGCTCCCACCTCCGGTACACGGGAGACCCTGCACTGTGTCGAGCCCCAAGGCCGGCCTCGCCTGGCTGGCTCTCTTTACATCCCTGTGTGTGCTAACCCTCTCACTCTCAGCTGTCCATGACAGCAGATGACGGATCGATGGAGGGGGGGCGGGGGGGTGGAGGGAAGTCGCAATCGCTGCACCATTGTGCCGTGTCTCCCAGCTCCTTTGCTGTCCATGCAAACATCGCTCTTTGTCTGCTGTGTCATGGCACAACTTGATGTCCCGGCCACCCCCCCCCCCCTTTGTTAGCGCAGACGATGTTAAGCAGGAACAGACGCCAGCGCTTTGTTTGCATGGCGCTCCTGGCTGTTTGTTTGCGACACCGCAGACACATCTGCACAAACGCAGTTGCTCCAAAAATGCAGTTCCAGTCACCAGAAGACACAGAAAACAAACTACTAGCTAGCAGGCGCTTATGAATGATGGTTCTGCTGTCATTCTAACCATATTTCATTATTTGACCCACAATCCATCCAGCATACTGTCCTGCATGTCTGTTTACATTATTCCAGCTCGACTTTCCAGATAGTAAATATTTTTAAAAATACAAACTGACAGAAAATACATAAAATGACAGTCTGCCGGTGTTATTAATTACAGCTAGAAAAGTTAGACCATGAAAATATAACTGAGGTTTTAACCGAATGTCTGAGACAGAAGGGGATTTTTTTTTACGAGTTTCATGTCAACACAATGTAATAAAATAAAGTTTCGGAAAATCGGTTGCAGATTTGGCTTTTTTTCAGTGTGTTCGTTTGTTGACTGCCATGAGAAATGTAAAGTCCTGCACAGATATAATAGAGCTGTGTTACGTACTTGAACGTGAACCTTCCTTTAGGTCAGTTTACATGCATCCAGACTGGCTCCCTGCATGGGTTCCGGTGCTCTTCCTTCTCCCTGCCAGTCATTTTTGGTCCTTGACCTAAAACAGCAGGACTCTGAGGTCTGTCGTTACCTGAGATCGTGACCCGAAGTGGATGACCTGTTACTAGGGCTGGGGGGGGGGGGGGGGCGGAGCACAGGGAAAATCTGCCAAGTCACTTGGAATAAAAGCAACAGTAAAGCACCTTTGAGCCAGAGCAATGCCATCATCCACAAAAAAGTCGCTTCTACACCCCCATTAGATACCTGGACAGGCTTCTTGGTCAAGTGAATGGCACGGTGGCAAACAAAGCCCCCCTTCAGAGAAGATTACAACTTCAACAGGAAAGCCTTTGACTAGGAAACTGTTTGAAATTTTATCAATACCTTGATCATCCCCTTGAGGTCGGTAAAACCATTTTCTAATCAGGGCCGCCTTGGCTCTGCTGCCTGGGCGGCGTGTTGCCTTTAATAGCGAATTACCGGCGTGGACGGGGCGCCCGACTTGTTTAACACGGGCCGCCTGCAGGATGACAGAGCTGCTCGGGTCCCTCCCGGCCGGTCACCCACCTGCAGCCACATTAGGTCAGATAGTCATCGGGGCTGCCAAACTGTCACTCGGCCGGTATGACAGTGAAAAGGGGGGGGGCTGAAAGGGAAACGTGCTGCAGATAACATTCAGAGTCCGTGTTTTAAACAGCGCCTCACGGTTCAGCGGAGAGGAGCCAAAGCCAGGAAATAAAGCGGACTTGCAGGGCGCGCTCCCTGCCGCGCAGCTGCCTGTTTGCTTTGGTGTACGGAAACGGGAGAGATCCGGGCCTGTGCGCAAGCCGCCGTCTCCATGAGCGCACGTGTGTTTTTGCATGTTTCTCAATGATTTTACAACCAATCTCAATAACAATTTAGAGCACATCCCGGTTGAATCATTTGACCTGAATGTGCTGCATTCATTTGTCCCGGTAAAATAATTTAAAAGTGAGTTTGGCGGTGCATCGGGTAGATATTGTGATCATCGAGGTAACGTGGGGAGGACGGTTACCATTGGCCTTGATATTTTTTCCTGGGAAATATTTACTTTGGCAAATAGATTTCAAAGGACCTCGCGTGGATTTCGGACTCATCTCTTGACAAACATCGGTCCATATACAAAGACGATATATTTTACGCCTCTGGATACGAGCGACAGAAATGAAAAGCCCGATTTGGTAGTGTTATTATCTATTATTCGCGATTACGGGACGTCTCTATTAATACGTTACTCCAAGCGCATGCAATATTATATCCACGGAAGGTTGTAGTGACGCAAAAAACCTATCCCATTTGCAGATTATAGCAATCATCATTCTCACTTGGTTACAGATGAGAACATGGCGGGAATACTTTTGTAGTGTAGAAAAACGATAAATTAAAAAACAAAACTCATCAACATTGTTATCGAGAGGGGGCACTACTGAAATACTAGACGCCAAAATTGCAAAGCGTTATTACTTGTTTTTCTTGTCCGTAAAAGCGGCTCTTGGCGGCTGGTGTAATTACTCTCACGCCATACAGCAGTCTAATTCATCGCCGCTGATTATGCATATGAATTTGGGAGGAAATCACATTAGCGAACATACATTATTACAAGTCGTGTCACTACAAATGTATTTTCGTGGGGTTTTTGAGGGAGAGGCGTCGGAGCAGACCAGGGGAGCGCAATCTAATACAACTGTACAATTATAGTCTTATTTCCATCGCCGGTCTGTTGCTTCGTCTGCCTCTTTCTAATCAAATAAAATTGGAATGGCCATAAACAGCGTGTACTCCCCTCTTCCGCCGTGATTGGCAATATCACAGCTCATCCACAACGACAGATTTTATCGTTTAGCTGGGTAAACAACTTACATGGGGACGCCCAGTTAAGTTGGAAGTCTACGCCGTATCCATGTCTCTCACTGTTATAAGTCCCAGTAAGTAAAGGGGACCCACATTGGACGCAAAACAGATTGTGGCCGTATGTCGGGGGCAGCAGGTAACATGGTGGACAATTACTCTAACATGAAAGTCATTGGATGGAGTCGTGGGCTTTGTTAAATATGTGTGATTGCTAGTTATAGAAATAACAAATTCATAATATAATTATATGGCACACTGCTTGGTACACGTTGGAAGCATTCAAATGGCGAAGTTAATACAGAATCACAGATATGACCGGAGAGTGTCTTTGGAAGGCGTGATCAATATGCTGGGGTAGCATGGGAATAAAATAAATTCCATACATAAATACAGGAACTCAAAAACTATAATCATCACATTTTCAGATGTCTCAGGAGCTAACCTCAAAAAGAGTCTGTGTATCTCAGAAAGCGCCAGTGCTTAGTTTTAATGCCGCAATTAACATTAACGTTAATATCAACATTCATTCGACATTTACTTAAAAAAAACACAGATGCCATTTTGGTTAATACTTTTAATGTATTACCTACTGGTGGGGTTTGCTGCAGTGAACTGGCATTTAGAAAAATCATTTAGCATAATATAACGAGGCCTATTATAAAGACATCAGAATGACAGAAATTAATTCAATGTATAAAACAAATAAGCATCGGCACTGGTTTCGCAAATTACAATAAAAATAAACATTCTTCGCTTGATATGTATTCCTGATAGTCTTTATCCTGCCCCAGTGCTGGTTTCGGCTGCCTTTTATAGCTGTCACTTTCGCCTGCACTGCGCATGTGCAGTGTGTGCCTTCTCTTCGTGTCCGCTGGGCAGTTTGGCTTCCTCTTGCAGCCCAAAGACATGTGGTTAACTGGCACCTCTAAATTGCCCATAGTGTGTAATTGTGTGTATGGCCTCCGTGATGGACTGGCACCCGGCCCAGTGTGCACCATTGCCTGGTACCCTATGCTGTTTTGGGATAGTGGCCAACCCCCTATGAAGGATTTTGAGCAAAATGTAAAAGTTATTAAACAAGTAATTATTGCTAATTAATATAAATGCAAGCAGAAGAAGATAAAAGCGCAGAACAATATTCAACAATAGTGTCACAGGATTTTCAGGACAAAACAAAAATGTCAAGGGTGAAAGCAAATTACACTGAGAAACATGACTCTCACATTCCAGTGAAACTTCGATAATTTCAGAATTCCAACGTTTAATCTGTAGCATGAAGTTATATAATGCAAAACTGTCGTTTCATGTCAATTAACTGACAGCTACCGAAAACCTGGACATTTATTGTTCAGACTGGCCTGTAGCGCCCTCTAGCGTTTTCCTTTATGAAACATGAATGAAAGCCGTGCGACTCATTTAGCACAGATGAAAAGTAAATTGATATAGCTTAATCCACATAACAAGCATAATGAAACATATTAAATGCATTGTACAGCGCAGTTATTATGAAAAGCCAAAAATTACGAAATTCTATAAAAACAAATTTTGGCGCATTGTTTAGTTATTTAGATCTTCTCGGAGAATACAGTAGATGCCATAGGACAAATGGTAGGACATTTGTGAGTTATAACTAGACAAATAGAACAAAGTAGAAAACGCGTAAGTATTACAAGTGATCATTTCGAAAGACTGGAAATTCCTAGATACTCTCCTGCGCGTATAGGCGCGTGCTCAATGCACCCACCGCGGGGCACGAGCGGGCCGTGTGTGATGACGTAGGCGCACCTCGCGGGCAGCCGAGGCTGAGCGGGTCCAAGAGGAGCAGATGAGCTTCTGGGCTACTTAGCTAAGCCTGGAAAATGTTAAAACATGACCGGGGAGAGGGTCGGCTCGCTCCTTACCAAGTAGAGGCAACAGGTATTTGCACCCTGTCGCTGTCCCGACCGCCGCCGACACGAAGGTGAACTGGGGACAGGCAGTTAGCATTGAAAGTAGCCGTTAACATGGGAAAGGACGGGATCGCGGAGCGGGATGGAGTGACAGTCATTTCGGGTGGTCGGGCGCCTTTTAAAGCATAAACCGCCGTCTGCGTCATGGGCACGGCTTTTCTTGTATAAAATCCGCGACTCTTCGTTATCCAGGCCTCCTTTCTGCCAGATTTAGCCGAACAGCTAACTGACTAGCACCGCACAATAGCCCGTGCCAAACAGTAAAACGGGTGTCGGCCATTCCGGCTCATTTGTTCATATTTTGAATAAACACCGTAATTATTAAGCATGTCTATACGAGTTTACTTTGACACATGCTTATGAGCAAAAATGCCAGCTTTAAACTGCTATATAGTGATACCAATGTGCTTCATCGTAAGGATGCAAGAATTTAATGCATATATTAAATACTCCTGAACCATTGAGTAAGGCTTATCATTTTTGCATTGATTTAAATGAATTCCGTTACATTGTGCACAAATTTTAACTTAATGACGCTGGATCCTAGGTACATTTCTTTGAATGCTGTCCTTCAAAATAAACTGGAGCAGTATATAACCTTTTTGTTCAATTTCAGATCTGTATCGCAGTAGCTATGGAATCTGAGGCTAACTTGTACCATGTGGAGTTCCCAGACTTCTCCTGCTCCATCCTCCAAAAGCTGAATGAGCAGCGTCAGATTGGTCAGCTCTGTGACATCACGGTGGTCATCCAGGGCCACCGCTTCCGGGCCCACAAGGCCGTGCTGGCGGCCAGCTCGCCGTACTTCTGCGACCAGGTCCTCCTTAAGAACAGCACATGCGTGGTGTTGCCGGATGTGATGCACCCCGGCGTGTTCGACAGCCTGCTTCAGTCATGCTACACCGGATCGCTCTCGCTTCCGGTGGGGGAGATAGTGGGCTTCCTGACTGCGGCCAGCTTTCTCCAGATGTGGCACGTGGTTGACAAGTGCACCGAGCTCCTTGCAGGGGGTCAGGCCATCCTGTGCCAGAAACCTGGCCCAGGTGGTGACCATCCATCTCCAGGTTACTGCAGCTACAACAGCCCAAGGGGCTCCCTTGACCTAGACCCAGCTCCCACACGCCGGCCGTGTGCCAAGATCTCCGGCTACAAAGACAGGGAGATGGAGCGATTGGTGGAGAGCTGCTTCTCTCCTCGAGCCCTGGAGCGGGACGGTGTGCTCGCTACGTCTCCACCCTCTGAGCAGGACCATGGGAGCACAGAGATGGCCAGCCAGGATGGGGAGGACGGAGGCAGTGACGTGACGGAGTACCGCTACCCCCGGTCCCTTTACATCCGTCCCAGCATCTTGTACCACAAGCGAATGGTCCTGGTCAAGCCAGAGAAGATGGAGCAGGATGGCTGTGAGTTGGGTGGTGGGGACACATTGGGGGCTGAGACTACCGAGGAGTTAGATGGGAGGGATCCTGAGGGAGTGAGCACCTTAGAAGAGGGATTCACATCAGTTGCTAGCACCAGCTCCCTTGATGCCAGCATGGAGGAGAAGCTAGAACTGGAGGAGGCGCAGGGAGGCAAGCACTCATACGACGAACCCCTCGACTTTTATGGTGCGTCTATGGAGGAGTTCTCTGCTGAGAAAGTGGAGGCCCCTCCCAGTGCATCCAGGGAGGATGCTGAGGGTCCGGAGAGGGAAGATGGCTCGGAGCCGGCCAGCGGGATCCGGGAGGAGACCTCCCACTCGGGCTTTGCGGCCGTGGTCTACAAGCTGTACCCCTGCCAGTGCGGGAAGAGCTTCACCCACAAGAGCCAGCGGGACCGGCACATGGGCATGCACCTGGGTCTGAGGCCCTACGGCTGTGCTGTCTGCGGCAAGAAGTTCAAGATGAAGCACCACCTGGTGGGCCACATGAAGATCCACACCGGCGTCAAGCCCTACGAGTGCAGCATCTGCGGGAAGAGGTTCATGTGGAGGGACAGCTTCCATCGGCACGTGTCGTCTTGCACCAGGGCTCAGCAGGTCAAGCAGGCGGCCCATATCTGCTGATCCCATCTGCCTCAGCCTTGACAAAGCTGCTTACTACTGAGTTGGGGAAGGAATATATCCTCCCCCCCCCCAAGTTTCATGTTTGTTGCTGACAGGGACAGAGTTCAGTGGCGTCTGCGGTTCATGAACGCTGTGGTCTATGAACAATTTGGTTCATGACCAAGAAGTTTCATGAAAAAAATGCATTGGTTCGCGTACATAATTTGGTTGACGAACAGATTCCTCGACCAGATTCCTTTTTTTATACTAGTGTAGCACCGGCGGCGCACATGTCCCAGCTAGGGTGACCACCTAATCCATGTCAGGAGGGACACTATGAGCTACATCAGCTTTTAAAAACTACTTTAAAGCTGAAAGGGTTCTGTGCTCTGCTAAAATGTTTGGTTAGTTCCTAGAT